GCGCCCTACACGCAGCAGCCGCTGTTCCACCCGCCCGTCCCGCCCTACCAGACGCAGCCCGCCTTCCAGGCCGTGGCCACCGTGTCCTTCACGCCGCAGGCCCAGCCCACGCCCAGCCCGCAGCCGTCCTACCCGCTCGCGTCCCCGATGATGGTGATACAGCCGAAGCCGCGGCAGACCGCGCTGTACCTGGAGCCCAAGATCACCTCCAACTACGAGGTGATCCGCAACCAGCCCCTGATGATCGCGCCCGTGTCCTCCGACAGCACCTACGCCGTGTCCCACCTGGGCAGCAAGTACAACAGCCTGGACCTGCGGATCGGCCTGGAGGACAGGGCCGGCTTGGCCAGCAGCCCCATCTCCAGCATCTCCGCCGACTCCTTCTACGCAGACGTGGACCACCACGCGTCGCGGAACTACGTCCTCATCGACGACATCGGAGAGATCACCAAGGGGACAGCGGCGCTGGGCAGCGCCTTCAGCCTCCACGAGAAGGATCTGTCCAAAACAGACCGTCTGCTGAGAAGCACCGAGACGCGGAGGTCTCAGGAAGTGACCGACTTCCTGGCCCCGCTGCAGACCTCCTCCCGCTTGCACAGTTACGTGAAAGCAGACGAGGACCCCATGGAGGAGCCGTACGAGTTAAAGCTCCTGAAACATCAGATTAAACAAGAGTTCCGCAGAGGGACGGAGAGCCTGGATCACCTTGCCGGTCTTTCCCATTATTACCACGCGGACACGAGCTACCGACATTTCCCCAAGTCTGAGAGGTACAGCATCAGCAGGCTCACGCTTGAGAAACAAGCGGCCAAGCAGCTGCCGGCTGCCATACTCTACCAAAAGCAGTCCAAGCACAAGAAGTCTCTGACCGACCCTAAAATGTCCAAGTTTTCACCTATTCAAGAAAGTAGAGACCTTGAGCCTGACTATTCGAGCTACATGACATCCAGCACTTTATCTATTGGTGGCATTTCTTCTAGGGCAAGACTTCTTCAGGATGATATTACTTTTGGCCTCAGAAAAAATATTACAGACCAGCAGAAGTTCATGGGGTCCTCCCTGGGCTCCGGACTGGGTACTTTAGGAAACGCCGTTCGGTCAGCTCTGCAAGAGGAAGCGGATAAGCCATACAGCAGCGGCAGCAGGTCCAGGCCCTCCTCCCGACCTTCCTCTGTCTACGGCCTTGACTTGTCAATCAAAAGGGACTCTTCCAGCTCATCCTTAAGGCTGAAAGCGCAGGAGGCCGAAGCTCTCGACGCTTCCTTCGGGCATGCGTCCCCTTCGGCCAGAACGAAGCCCACCAGCCTGCCGATTAGCCAGAGTCGAGGGAGGATACCGATTGTAGCCCAGAATTCGGAGGAGGAAAGCCCCCTCAGTCCTGTCGGCCAGCCCATGGGGATGGCCAGGGCTGCGGCTGGACCCCTGCCACCCATATCTGCAGACACAAGGGACCAGTTCGGGTCCAGTCACTCGCTGCCGGAAGTCCAGCAGCACATGAGGGAGGAGTCGCGGACTCGGGGGTACGACCGTGACATAGCAGCATTCATCATGGATGACTTCCAGCACGCCATGTCAGACAGCGAAGGTAACTCGCACCGCGCGTTGCCCTGTTACGCTCGAAACTCAAACTCTCGTTTTTCTGCATGTGCTGTTCTCCCTCTCCAAGGATGTATTCTGCCTTTCTTAGTGTGTTCTTTGCATGTTTACTTCATTTTTTTTTCTTGTACATGGCAATTTTATCTTGTGTATGATCTTGTGGCATGCTTTGCTTTGTTTCCACCTCATTATTTTATTGTTGTGTTTCTTGATTGTTTGGTTTGTTTTGTGCCTGCTTTTCTAAAACCGTTATCAAATAATTCTGTCAATAAAGTATGAGCATCCCTTAAATCCACAGTTAGAAAGTTTCATTGTATTTTTCTTTTGTTTGTTTAAAATACATATTCAATTTTTTTCTTCAGTTTATTTCAGTTTGTGAAATTATTAAGCATTACAGCTATGAAGTAACATTTGCTAGACTTTGTAATAATTACATCACTTTTATGTGGTGAAAGTTCATCAGTTCAAAGGATGGGCTCTTTTTTGAGCACTTAGGGTCAGTCTCTGAATTGGTATCATGTAGAATTTTATCATTCTCATTACATAAAAGACTTCTGTTGTATCTCTGATGAATACTATTTTGACAGATTTATACACTGTATATGACATGCTAGAAAGCTTAGGACTAAAGGTATTAAAATAAAATTATCAGTAGGCACAAAGCATTCTTTAGTTTTAAACTTAAACATCTGTAAACTACTTAGGGATTTTAGCTAATTGGAGTTCAGGCCTTACTGGTTTGTCCATTTGGCATTGCTTTTTGTATCATACTGTGGTTTTTGTCATAAATTCTTTTTTGGTTGTTCATATTGAACATTCTGTTTAAGGCACATACACAGAACTAAGAGTTGATTTAAATTTATTTTTATTCAATCATTCAGGGCCATAAGAATTTAGGAAATTATCTAATGTAAGTCTCACTTTGGAAATAAGAAAGAAGTGATGCCAGGGTGGGAGGAGGCATGCACATAGGAAGAAGGCTCTGACTCTTAATTCTTTTTTAAAATTCCCTCTATGGCTTACATTTGATTCAAAGTGGAGTTGGAGTCCTAGAAATAAAATATTTCTGATCAAATAAAAGCACTGTCACTTCAATCCTTTGGAGGCCCCAAAGGGCTAAACTAACGTAAGCATCTCCCCTTTCAGATCAAACTTCTTTCTTGTCTTGAAGGAAAATATATTTCCATGAAAAGGAATTCTTGTATCCTCTGTATTTAGACACAGATGAGTTTAGAACTCAAACCTAGTGTGTTACAGAACTCAAATAATCACTGGCTCTCACAGCAGATGGTCGGATGTTCCTATGGGGCTCAGATAGACTAGTCACTCTCCGATCTTCTTCCCAGGCTGCTGGAGTGACTACTTTATTGACAGATAGTCATACAAATAAAGCACTCCTTTTGTATCTTTTTTAATTTAGCAATTGAATGAATAAATTGATACAGCTTAACACAATTATGATGTTATTTAGAAAGTCTTTAATATTTTATGTACTTTTTTTCTAATCTACATTTTGCACGCCTTATACTATTTTAAAATAATAAGGAAGTCCCTCAATTGCCATATCTATAGTTAAATAAAATCTCTAGAGGATCTGTGGCATAACTAAGCACCTACAGGCTCTCCTCACATGGTAAGCAGATATCTGGAAAGAACTTGACCAACTCATTTACTTATTATTTACAGATATTTTTAACATAATGCCAGATATATAGATGTTTATGGACATTCCAGTATGTGGCATTTATTCACATAAAACTATACCAAAATCACCGAGTCTTTGTTGTTCATTTGTCTTTTATGTGTTTGATGTATGCACACAGTCATCAAGGGCCATGAAAAATTGTTTTGGTAAACTAAATAATGAGACATGGTGCAGCTCACATAATTCTGAAGTCTGTACCAGATAGATGAAATTTTGTGACAAAATGGTACTTAAAATTAAGCACATAAAAATTATTCATAGAGTATGTTGATGTAGAATTAAAGAATAACTATGACAAACTGAATTTTATCTGTAATGTGAATGAATTATAGTAATTATCTTTTAAAGATATGTATGATAAAATGTTACATATTTTCTTTGTTTTCATATTACATATATACATTACTTTTGTGAGAAGTTCTCCGTTTTCCTTTTGAAATCTTGGATTCCCTGAGCATTTAAGGGGCAATGTAGAAACTATGTTGACCAGTCCTGTAATTCCTGAAATTTATAAACTCAGAGTGGTAGGTATTTTCTGAACAATTTTTTGACAAAGGCAATCCCATATCTGTGAGTGTCACCAAGGTAACCTTGAGTATCATAACTGGAAACTGGCTATTTAGTAACATCTGACAGAAAGAATTTCACTGCATTCAAATTCCTTGCTGTGTCCATTCTTTCACTGAGTTTAATTAAATTTTACATGATAGGTTGTACAGTATTTTTCAGATGTACTCAGTAAAACTAATTTTTAATAGCTCATGAGATAAAATGTAGACCGACGTAATTTATATCCCTTGATATGTATGGTCATTAGCCTGAGACTAAGCTGGAAATAGTCAAATTATATTTATATCTACTGATAGCAGTCTTTCACTCAAAACATTCTTTCGAAGTGTACATAGTTACATGTCTCCCTAAGATAATATCAGTATGAATAGTCTTTTCAAAATACTTGACAAATATTTTATATTGAGAAGTAAATTATATAATTATTAATGCTAGACCCAAAAAGAACTCATTTGTATTCCACAGTAAAGAAGCAAACAGAAATGATCAAGTTTTAAAAAAGAGGGTGTGTGACTCTCCAGAAAATTATTTAAATTAATGTGAATCAGTTGGTTATTTTTATAAAATTTATCTTGTAAAAATGTGTCTCTCCCATGATGGATCTCCCCATTGCATTTATAAATGGTAGACACTGGTGACAACTCGCTGTAGATGATGAATGCGGGGCCTCACGTAAAAGCAGCTTCATTCAACCTGGCTGGTCTTGGTTCATCTCATGTTCCTGTGCCAAGTATATCATTAAAAATAACAGGGAAAATCAGGATAGATAGTCGTAACTGCAAAGCGACAAAACTTGGATCAAGTTAAGAGTCTGTATCAACAGACATAGCTATGAATATCACATGTGTTTTTAGGAATTATATTCCAAATGCAACTTGGAAAGCTATACATTCAAATCAAATCACATGCTACATTATTCAACATAGTCATTCATTAAAAACTGTATGGATTATTATTTTCTTTTGTGAGAAATATATAATAAAATGGTATAACAAATTAGACAAAAATAGTATTAGTGTTAATACTAGTAATAGTTAATACTAATAATAGTGTTAATGTTAATATTAATAATAAATAAGGATAATCTAAGAAATTTTCAGACTGATGATTAAAAAATGCATTTTTTCTTTCTTATCAAATGTCTGTTACACAAATTTTCTTTGTAAATCTAGTCACTTGCTTTGAAATTTAGACTGCGGTGTACCACAATAATTATTCAGTAGATGGTAAGAAAAAGATGTGTATCTATTCATGAACTTCAAGGAGAAAGTAATCTTTATTTTAAAATGTATTTATGGTGGTTATTTAGATTCTTTCTCTAGTTGTTGACTTATTCTATCCATCATTCATTCCACAAATGTGTACTAAATATTATGCCCTGTGCCTGGAGTTGCTGTTAGTGTTTAGGGAGGAAAAGTCAAAACTAAGACGATAGAAGCCTGGCCTCCACGCAGCTTACAGTCTAATGGGTGAGATCAGTGTGCGCATGCACAGACCGGGTAGGTGCAGTTTTATCCCCTCAAATCTAAGACAAAGCATGGAACTGCGTCTCTCACTCTCCTGGGAAAGCGCTGTGATTACACAATGAAGTCAGAGCTGGGAAGTGTGCAGGCGCCGTGGATGTCCAGCTGCCAGCAAAGCAGGGCTGCCGAAGGCCTGGGAACAGAGTCCGGGAAGTTTCAAAGAAAAGATAGGTAAGGATGTAGACGGGAAGGGAAAACAAGGAGGCGGAGAGAACCGAGTAGAGCGGCGCTTGGGGCCGCCTTTGAAGGAAGCGTAGGTTGGGACCATCAAGGAGGAGCCTGCTGAGGGAGCCCCTGAGAAGGATGCTCTGACTGCCTCGTGGGAAGCCGCAGTGTCCTGAGGATGGCTGCTGCAGGGCCCTGTACAGAGAACACAGCCGCTGATCACAGGTCAGGTTCTGCAAGTTAGCTACCGTGGGGCTTTTAATCTCCATGCAGCAACCTCAGGAAACCTGGAAAGTACCAACAGAATGAGCTGACTTTTTTTACATAATAACTGTATAGTCTGATATGGTTGCATTTTCTGAAAAGGTATGTAGACTGTCAAGTGTTTTTTTGCAGTTCATTCTCAATCTACTTTCTAAATCAGTGTTTTCTTTAGAAAATATTTTCTTTGTATTAAACATGTAATTGATATATTTTTAATTAAGCAACCAAATGCTTATGGAACACATGTTCCTAGCAATAATATTCCTAGAAATATTTTTGGTTTTTTGTGACTATCATATATTTTTGAAATGTTTACTTATGGTCAAAGCCAGCAACCACATATTGGCCCTGGGCTTATGCAACTGAGGAAAACTGACAGAACCTCCCATACTCCAGGAGTACAGTTTCTTGTGGATTTCACTGGGATGGCAGTGGGTTATAGGGAGGGTCTCAGAAGTTAGGACTCATGGACTGAGCATAAGTACAGTGAGTCCTGCTCCTTTAGTTATCCCATCACTATATAAATCTCATTTTATCCTGGTTTAAAACTTGATGTTGGTTTTTTATTTTGCTCTGAGTTGTGTGCATGACTAAAGGATAAAAGTTTTTATCATAGTGTTGTCTTTAACATACTCATAAAACTGATGCTCTAACACCCTTGGGAGCGTGTTGGAAATGCATGTGTGGAGAGGAGCCTAGTGCATGTCAGTCCTGTGAATAGCCTCTGCCTTGTGTCATCTGTATAGTGCAGTTGCAATGTGTGATGTTTCCTTGGTCTCCAAAGCCTATCACTTGCGTCGGGAGGAAACAGACTGGTTTGATAAACCCAGAGAATCACGTTTGGAGAATGGACATCTGGACCGGAAACTGCCAGAAAGATTGGTCCACTCTCGACCACTCAGTCAACATCAAGAGCAGGTAAGTGCAGTGTTTAGTAACCTTGGTATATTTATCAAGAGTCAGTTCTACGTCAGAATGGTCTCGGTCAAGGTCAGGAATGGATTAAAAAAGCACTTTACTTCGTCAGTAATGACTGACTTTGACTCAAGCTGTGACACTTCTACCAGACAATGTGAGTGACTTGATCCTCCAACAGATACTTATTATGTTTATATAGTGTGTCCAGCACTGCTTCACAAGGACACACATGCAACTCCTGACGAGCTGACAAGGATACTGAGTACCACAGATCTGTGTGATGTTCAGTGCTTCCAATGCCAGTATGTTCAGGGACTGACAGCACCTGAGAGGAAACCAAGTCTGCCAAGAAAGAAAGGAGGTTTCACATGGAGAAGAGAACTAACTGATATTATTAGTGACCTCACTAAATAGAAAAGTTGTTTTGCCTTCATTTTTTTATGTCTCTCTTTAAAAACTCACACCAACTAGACTTTATTAGTATTTTTTTATAAAGAAGAAATTGAATTTTAAAGGTACATATTACAACTCAATTATAATACCATAATTTGTAAACTTACTTTAGAGCAAAGGAAGGTATGTTTGTGTTGAACCTTTAAAAAAAAAAGAAAAAACAGAATAGTTAAAAAAAAGAACAATAGAAAAATGCCAACATCACAGACATAAACAAAACAAAGCAAGAACATTAAAAATGATACAGGGTTTCAAAACAAAATGGTAGGAATTAAAAGTGGTTGTTATATTACATATTGTTATCTTCAACGAAGTTGCTCAGGTTACCAGATGTAAGAATGGAAGATTGTTCAAACCATTAAAGAGAATAAAACAAATTGTTAAAAAACATTAGAGATGGTACAGAGTTTCACTAGACAAGATGATAAGAATTCACCAATAGTTGTTCTGTTGCATATTGTTGTCTTCAAATCAGTTGCTCAAATTACCAGATATAGGCATGCAAAATTGGTCAAAATATAAAAAATTTAAGCATTAACTGTTCCTTTCAATAAACCACCAGACATCAGCAGTACAGTTATCCCAGCTATCCTTCTATATGCATATGTATACTTTTCTTTGCCTTCTTTCTTTCTTTTTCTTCTTTCCCTCATCCCAGTTGTACCTTCCTTTAAGCAATTTCTTTCCCTTTCATATTATCTATTGTACATGTTGGGGTTCATGTACTCTTTCAGGTTCTTACACTAGGGACACAGCAGGATGTTTACATGTGTGGATCTGATTTATTCCACTTACGAGTATGAGAGATGATACAGGTCTCTAGTTGCATCCATTTACCTATAAAAGCCTCAAGTTTATCTTTTTATAGCTGAGTAATACTACATTGTATAAAAATACCACATCTTTTTTATCCTTTCCTCAGTTGATGAGCATTTGTGTTGTGTCCAAGATTTAGCTATATGACAAATTGTGCTTTTATAAACATGGGTGCACGTATATTGCTATGGTATGATGTTTTTAATAATTCTGCAAAAATACCCAGAAGGGGAATAGCTGGGTTAAGTGGGACTTCTAATCCTAGTTTTGTGAGGAATCTCCAAACTGATTTCCACAGTGGTTTCATCAATCTACATCAGTAGTGGAGGAGGGTTCCTTTTTCCCCACAGCCTCTCCAGAATTTGTTATTGGTTGATTTCTTGATGATAGCCATTGTTTCCGGGCTGAGATGGAATCTCAGTGTTCTTTTAATTTGCATTTCTCAAATGACTAATGATGTTGAACATTTTTTCATATATTTATTCACCGTTAGTATTTCTTCATCTGAGAAGTGTATATTCATCTCAGATGCCCATTTTTGGATTGGGTCTTTGAATTTTTGGGGCCCGATTTTTTTTAATTCTTTATATGTTCTAGATAGAAGTCCTTTGAGAGACAGTTGGCTAAAATTTTTTCCCAATTTGTGGGATTTCTTTTTACTCTGTTGGTGATTTCTTTTGGTGTGCAAGAACTTTTCAATAAGATGAGATCCCAGTTGTTGATTCTTTGGAGTATTTCCCATGCAGTTTTTTTTTCATAAACTCTCTGCCTACCCCTGTGCCTTCAAGATTTTTACCTACTTTCTCTTCCAGTAGATTTATTGTTTCTATTCTAATATTTAGATTTTTGATCCATTTTGATTTTAATTTAGTGCCTGGAGATTGACATGAGTTTAGCTTTAGTTTCTGCATGTGGAAAGCCAGTTTTCTCAGCACTATTTATTAAAGAGGCTATCTTTCCTCCAATGAACATGTTTGGCCCCTTTGTCAAAGACAAGGTGACTGAGTGTTTTTGTTTGTGTTGAACCTTGAAAGACACCTATCAGATTAATAGTTGGCTACATTGAAGGAGATTCCCCTGGTAAATCCAATGGTCTTAAGTCAGTTTCCCTAGCACTTCAGATATTTGCAAGTTATAATCATTAAAATACCAGAACAGAGATAGATTAGCTCCTAAATTACACTATTTAGTGATTTGCTGATATAGTAACAGCCATATTATAAACAACTAAGAAGATCTCTATGGAACTTCTAATAATTGTCATACTGAAGTATTAAACAATATATAGGAACTGTCAATACATTATATTCTCAGATTTGATTTCTTCCTAAGCAGTTGTAGTTCTCATGGACAAATCTGTAACTACTAAATGAAATTTCCTTTTCTCAGAATTTTCTTTTGATTTTTGTTTTTCTGTATACTGTTTTATTTTCTAGAATCCTTAAGATTCTACTCTTTATATTACAAGTGTTCTCTGTCAAATTCAACGTAAGAAAGTTGTATTTTAAGGATCTCTTTGTATTGACATATTTGTTATATTTTAACCATCTAATTTGTTTCTCTGAAGTGTAGTGTTTCCCACAAACCTAGATCAAGATTATGAAAAAATAAATACTTTAACAAAATCATAATAAGACACTATAGAAAATGGAGAGCTATAAACAAACAACTTCTATACATTTATCCTCTAAATCTTCATTTCTGGTAGATAGGGTAGTGTTCTCCAAAAATTTATCCATCTAATATTATTTGAGAATACATTAAAGAAATTTTTGTACACCCCCAATTTTTTTCTAAAATTGTATTTAATTGTAGGCAGAAGAGATACAAATATCTCTAAGGACACTTCTGTTTCAAGTTTCCATTACTAACATGCATAGATGTATGGCTTTGATCTGCTGATGATATATAGGGGATCATTGTTTAAACAATATATCCTTATAGACTAATGCCAAAACTAAGCAGATAGAATATTGAGAATAATTTAGTAATTTTCTCACTATGATAGATAAAGTTAAAAAAAATTTGTGAGATGAATGTAATAAAATAATGTATATTTTCTTGCTGGTAGCAATCTTTACATTTAATTTTTTTCTCATTTCTATTTGGCTGCCTTTTATATACGCAAAAACCACTACACATGCTGTTATCAAACTGCAAATGCATCAGGTTACAGCTTTATCACAAAATGGCCAGCCCAGGACCCCACACAGGCCAGGAACAAGAACACTGCCCGACCTCAAAGACCCTGTGAGCCCCTCAGGACCCCAAGTTCGCTGGCCCCAAACAAGAAACAAACATGTTTATTTTCATGGCAATGATTTGCTTTAGGTTACAGTTTTTGTCCTAAACAGACATTACTTAAAACATAACATGTGCTTTAATTACATAACATTCCAAAGTTTAATTATGTAAATCTCAAAATTCACACTGTCTGCATTAATATTTATCCTCATCCTGCCTCCCTGTTGAACTCACTATAACTATATTTTGGCCTGGACAATATTCAAATGGCATTTTCATTCCATTCCCTTCTTTGCTGCTGTACTCATAAAAAGGTAATATTGAGCTCTTGATACCAATAAATGCAGATATTTTTATTTGAAAACACACATAGCAAGGATTTATGCTCTTAAAGTGCTCTGGAGGCAAAAGGAATAACTGCAAGTTAATGAATGCAAACATTAATGTATCTTCTTTAAAATGTCTTATGTAAAACATACATTAGAGAGATAGAAGAATATCTTTGAACAATTTTGCTATCGCCATCATATTCACTACAGAAATGACCCAATCTGCAGGCCTATTTGTTTCCTGTCAAATACACTGGCTTATGTTTTATCTCTGCAATTTTCAGTGAGATCTAGCTCTGCTTTGTGAACTGAATAGGTCACCCAGCCTCATTTACTACTAAGACTTTCCCTCTGTTGCTCATCTGTGAAGTGCATGCCCTGGAAAGGGCTGTGGTCAGTACACTGCCTGCTTATCAAGGAAGGTTTTGGCTGGGCCCGAACCCCCTGCCCTGGAAAGTGTACTCTCTGTGCTGGCATCTGGCTGTTCTCTCGCCTCTGCCAGGGTGCTCACTCCTCTCCTCTTGGGTAGCTCTGGTCAGCACCCTGGCCCCGTGGCCATACCCTGTCCTGCAGGAAGATGTCCCTGACACTACCCCCACTCTGGCTTCTCAGTCTGGGTAGCAGGGAGCATTTGGTGCTGGGATGGCAGCACCTGGAGCGAAGGACTCTCAGTCCTACCCAGCAGGGGTGGAGCTGTGTCTCACCTGGGAAGAGCTGTGTCTCACCTGTACTCTTTGGGGCACACCATTCTCTGCATCAGGCCTGTGTAGTATATAAGGAGAGACTGCCTGGATATCTGCACAAATAAAAGATGACTCCAGTGTTATTTGTAACTATGAAGGTTCAATTCAATAAAATAATTTATTTTGAAATATTTATAACAAGGGGAGGAAAACAAGCCTTTATTCTGGGTGGCATGAGGTGATAGTTCTGTCCACACAGAATGGTCAAAAAACAAAGACAACAGAGAGCAGATTTGGGGGTCCCTGGCACCTCAGTTCTGTCCTGGTCTAGCTCCTGCTCCTATTTGGCAAAAGCAGCATGTGTTAGAGGACTCTCCATATTCATCTGCCGGAGTTAGCAAAAGACCTGAGACCCATCTGTGCTGTGCGTGGGAAAGATGTCCCCGCTCTCTGTAGATTCTTCATCATAGTGATCATGATTATGGCAGGAAGTAGTAAATATCAGTATTTACTAAGTTTTGTTTCCCTTGTAACTTATGTCAAATATTTTCCTAAGGCAATAGTGGATGCAAGATTCCATACTGATATAATCTTGCTCATAAACTTACAGATGTGAATAAATATTCAGGAGTGCTATTTTTATTATTTCACAAATCTCACTTAAAAGCAAAGTTCCATAAAGTCTAAAACCTAAATCTTGATTCCCTGATTCACTTTTGCTTCAGAAGCATTACTACACCAGCTAGAAAGAGGCAGGACACAGTCTGTGGTATGGTCGTGTCAGGTCCTCACGATGAGAACAGAAATCACTGCAACAGTAGCTGTAAGTGTCGCTCCCTCCACCCAGGAACTTCTGCAGTCAGTGAGGTCAAACATACAGGTCTCTGAATACAAAGGAGACTTCAGGCTTCAGAAAGAATCAAAATGAGCAAAGGCCTTATTTATTCACACAAATTAGGCTCCACACACACCAACTGCTCTGTTGATGTATTCAGCGGTATAATTCCCAGTGAAATCAAGCACCTGAAACATAAAGCGCTCCTGCTTATGGTGACAGCGGTACAGTGTCCTTGGATCTCTGGGTCTCTCCACAATCACCACATAATTGCTGAAAAGTAAAAATGCCTCTCTTTTCTAGGCTCTCCAGAGTACAAGCAGGAGTTGGCAATTTTCCACACCCATTCCTGTCAGAGCTGATGCTCACCAGTACACACGGTCATCGCTAGTAACTACACGCTACTATCCTCACTGACATCTCTCAGAGTCGGTTACACACAGCAGCTTCCCCAGTAGAACAAATCCATTTTCATGAGCAATTGGTTCTACTGTGAAGGCTGTAATGACCTCAGAAATGCATTCAGTGATACCATGTGAGTGGAAGATGCTCACATTGTCACCACTTGAGAGTGCTCTAGTACGTCTCCATCGGTTTAACCAACATGCTTGTGAGTGACTCAGTCTGATTCTGTATAAGATGTATCTGATATCTGCTTACTTACCACATTGTATGTCTGTCTCAGATCTTACAGATGAACGGGAAGACCATGCACTACATCTTCCCCCACGCACGAATAAAAATAACGAGAGACTCTAAGGATCACACTGTTTCAGGTAAAGCAAATCTAATCCTTTTTATTCCAGTGTCAGAGTGACATATATATTTGGACTTCAGTTTAAGTGACTCATTAAAGTTCAGAAAACCACTTTTTATATAAAAAATTATGTTTAGAACATGTCTAAAAGTAAGCAGGTTTTTCATCTTAGCATAAAAAACATGGGTGACATGACCCCTCATATGAAGAACCACGAGGGGTACGTATTTCAATCATTCTTTTCATTCCCTGCAAGACACTGCAATGCTTCATAATTATTGCTCTGCTAAGTAATATGGTCAATGGCTTTAGAAATGTAGATTATCTTTATATAGGAAGTAAAAGACTATCTTGGATTCTTCTAAGAAATAAATTCACCCCCCAATGCAAAAACGATGTTATGCTGATTTTTGTTTGATTATTTGCATTCTTTCACAAACCAATGCTGATGGGGGAATATTTAAACTTATTTTGGAATAATTTTGGACCTTAGAAAATAGTACAGATATTCTGTTGTTCACTCTTTGTCCAACTTCTCTAATGTTAAAATCTACTTAACTACAACAAAATAATTTTCCCCAAGAAATTAGCATTGATATATTATTTTTATAACATTTGATATGTTATTAAAATATCTATAGGATATACCCAAGTGTTTTAACCCTATGTCAGGATCCAAAACAGAATTTCACATTGTGTATTGTTTGTCATGACTCTAGCTACTCCTCCAGCCTGATTATTTCTGTCCTCCTTTGTCAGTCATGAGTTTGAAACACTGGAAGGATAGTAAAATTTTACACTACAAGTATATGTAAATCAGTGAGAGGAAAGGCAAATTTTTGACAGTTAATGAAATTTTAAAACTGAACATTTCCTGTATTCTCATTCAAGCATTGTATATTCTTTGTGTTTCTTGGACATTGTACATCAACAGAAAGTACAAATATATGTATCGATGAAAGTATGGATTATGCATGAATCAATGCGCAGGCAGCAAGCTACCATAGTGTTTGTGCTGGATTTTTTTAAAGCTCTGATATCACAAAGAATACAAGGACATTGTTTTTCTGTTTTAATCATCATTGCACATTTTGAACCATAGGTTTTGAGTTGAGCTATTTTCCTCCATACTTGCATAGAAAATGAATCAGCTAGGAGTCTAATATTGTTCTTTTTCCTTTTGGGATTAGGTAATTTCACTTTTGCTAATGACAGATAATTCTTTCATAATTTTATTGTTATTTAGACTGTATTTTAGGCACTGATAAAAATCCCAGAGTCAAACCTTCAAATCCGTGGGCTCCTTTGTAGAGGTTATTGCTAAAAACTTTTTCAGTTTCCCCCAGCTCATAAAGCAAAAGAACAAAATATGTCACAGCAAAGCCAAAATTATTTTTGCAGGATGAATGATGGAAATCTTCAAATCATTTTTCCTAAATCATCAAGACCCTGTGCCGACGTATATGTTTTCTACTGGTGTTATTATTTTTCTTCTATATTAAAGAATTATTCCTCAACCTTATTTATATTATGCAACGAATTATTTTCTGTTATGTCAAGTAGAAAAAAGTTTAAAATGGAAGAATAATGAATAAGTTCTATTGTTTTCTTTTATAAATATTCTAATCTCAAAACTAAATTCAGTTTCTTCTGTATATAGATTTTGCAGAATGATGAAAGTCTATTATTCTAAACAGTAATAATTCTAGAAGCATACTGTATTTTTTCTTTATATTCTAGTTTTTCTTTTGATATCTATCTAAAATAATAGTAAAAATTTTGCCTGGTATATTTACCTTGTATTGATTGTTAAAGAACATTTTCATGTGTCTTTAGGAAGCTTGATTCACTAAATTAAGTGTTTTGAAAAAATCTGTAATGCTTTCAAATCAGTCTTTAGAACTTATACAGCTTTACGTCCATGAATTTTCAAGACTACAGCCAGAAATAGTAACTTCGGCCAGTGGTCTGGTGGAAGGCGAGCGCTAGAACAGAGCGCTTATACTCCTGGCTAGACCCTGTGCCCTTTGCTGCCCAAGCAGAAGCCTACTTTAGTTGAATGCACCCTCTGGAGAGAGTTGTTGTTTTTAGCCATGATTGCCACCTAATGTTTTAAACTGAATACATCTTTATGAATTGAAAAGAGTGTGTATTTATCAAATATAACATTCTTACATTATATATGCACTGTGACCAAAACTACAGCGAATGTTTACACTGGAAAATATTTAAAAGACACATTGCCATTCATTACACTGAAAAGTTCCCCCCTTGCTTCAAACATGCTTGTCCCACGGTTTTTGCCTCTTTCTGCAGCAGCTCTGGAGTCCTCTTTCCTGAGGGTCTTTAGTTGTGCTGTGGTGGCTGCCTCAATGTCTTGTATTAATTCTAATGTTTCCCTTTTGTGATTATTTTGACTTTGGGGAAGAGCCAGAATTTCCAGGGTACCACATCTGGTGAATAAGGTTGATAAGGACACAGTCATGTTTTTGTGAGCCAGCATTTCCTTTGGAAGACACTGTCGGCAGCAGCATCCATTGTAGTTTTGATCACACCTCATGAAGACACTCAGGAAAGAGGACTTGCAGAACTGCTTCAGAAAATGGCAAGAAGGATGGGATAAGTGTATTGGAAGTGAGAGGCATGTATGTTGAAGGCAGCCCTGTGTCTTTTACTGTAACACATTTGTTTTATTCCAACATTAACTGCATATTTTTGTCATACCTTGTATGCATTATGCAGTGGCTAAAGATAACTAATTAACTTATCTCTATCTCACGGAGTTGCCCTGTTTGTGGTAAGAACACTGCACATCCATTTGGAATGTTGTTCAGAAACACAGTGCGTTGCCATTAGCGTCAGTCGCCCCAGGCTGCATCCTTCTGAGGTCTGAACACAGCATGGGCAGATACAGTGATGTGTGTGGGACTTGCCTCTCCTGCACTCCATGAGGAGCAGTGTAGCAGGAAGCAGAGTCACCGCCTTGATGATCATTGCTGGGGGAAGACTGACTGCAGCGGGGTGTAGTACAGCCTTGTTGTTTGCTATGCATAAACATTTCCACAGTAAATATTCTTAAGTTCTTACTTGGAGATGAACTGCAATGTCTAATAGTTTCATTATTACTACAAAAAGCTAGCAAAGCTAATAATTAACTGCTTCTTTTTTACAGTACTAGAGATTGAATTCATGGCCTTTAGTACCGAGTAACCTCCCTGCCCCTTTAAAAAATAGGTTTTTCTGTTCTGTTTTGTTTTGTTTTGTTTTGTTTTGTTTTGTTTTGTTTTGTTTTGTTTTGTTTTGTTCCGTTTCTTCTTGGAGACAGGGTCTCAGTAGCCAAGTTGCCCAGGATGAGGTCAAACATGCCATCCTCCTGCCTCAACCTCCCAGAATACTGGGATTACATCGTGTACCACTGTTCCTGGCTTTAACTGCCTTTACAAAACAAGATGGGGTTGGGTGTAAGAAATAAGAATAAACTGCAGTGTCCCTCACTCCCCAAAGAACGAGGAAAGCCGTTCCAAGTGTGTTTTCATTTTTGTCTCATGAAAGCTCTGAAAGTACAAGTATTCCATGCCTTTATTAATATTTTATAAGACACATCTAGCTGAGCATAGCAATAAAATATGAGTGACATCAAGCAATCCCACTTCGCAAGTAAAAGAAGAAAATAGTTTTATTCATTGGAAAAATAATTTCAAAATAAGAAACATGAATCGGGAGTGGGTTTTTGTTTTTTGTTTTTAACATTCCTCTTTTGTGGTTTCCAAGTGTGAGCGCTGGAGCCCTCATGACCCCGCAGTGTTCCCAGGGTTCTGTACGTCAAAAGTGTCCCAGAGTAATGCTCCAGTAATGCTCACTGGTCTCCCTGTCACCCCGCACGCTGCGCGAACGCACAGCGTCTGTCTCCGCAGTGCTGCTGATGCCCAGGACGCCGCGTTACCCGGGCTCTGGGTCAGCAACAGCCGGCTCCTCGCAGTGCCCGGGCGCTGGCCTGGTCCTGCGCGGTCGGGTGGGTTCCCAGGTGGGCTGTGCACTCCTTTACTGCGCCGTCCTCTCCCCTGACCCGCCTTCCCCTTCCCCGCTAACCCCCTCCCCGCGTGTTCTCACAGGCCTGGGCGACCTCCCCGCGGTGGCCCTTGCGTGTGCTGCCCGTGTCTCTCTGGCATCTCTCTGGGGTTGAGGGTCGATGCGGAGCGGACCTGAAGAACGCAGACCACGGTCACCCTTCTCACAAGACTTCATTCGTAAAACTGTGATTTTGTTTTTTTTTTTTGTAACGTGATTATTTTAACATGGAGTGAGTTCAGTATTACTATTATTATAGTAATATTACTATTACTATATTTTGATTCTCCGTTTTTATTTGTAATACACGAAGTAGGTAGGGCTGTCGTCCAGAGAAGCAACAGCTCATTGAGGTCCTAATGATGTTAGAGGATGAGCGATTCAGAAACTGCACGGTGGAGCACCGTCCTCTGGAGATGTTTGCGCCCGAGATTAAAAAACAGGAAAAATCCCCCAAACAAGAGGAAATAGGATTTTTTCTTCTCTTTAAGAAAACTTGTACGGCATGAAATCTTTCACAAATGTTTCTGTAACTCATACTCCATGCATAGTCGAAGCCTATTTGTGGACATTGAGGTCCTGAAATAGAAGCAACTCTGACTATAAAATTTCAGAAAGATCTGAGACAAAAGCCCAGGAATTTATAAAATTTTACTGTTTGCACCCACACCTATGCACACTAATGTATATATGCACCATAATTTACAACTTTGGAATTATGCAGGAGAAATACATGTGAAAAATCTATTAAATATCATACAGTTTTTAGGAAATAAATCATTTACTTTTGGTATGTAAGTTTCAAAGATGTCGTTAACAGCTGTGGTTTAAATGTACAATATTTTTCAAAGTGTTTTTATTCAAATTAGCGAAGGATAGCACAATGGAGAGAACAGGTAGTGAGCTTTGGGGTCATGAAGACCTGGGGTGGATTCAACTCTAACACTTCCT